ACCGGGCGTGAAACCCCAGAGTGCCAGCACGGGTCAATAGCGACTGGCCCAGGCACTTACCTTCTGCTGCCGCTATCCTGGGTCCTGTGCAGGATTCTCCTCTACGGATTAGAGGCAGAAAATGAGTGCTGTTGCGACCCAGATTGCAGGTTCTAACGAGTGATTCTCTCTTCGAACACTAGCTTAAAGAAAGGCTTTGGAGGATATCTTTTGTGCAGGGTATTCTTGAATTTTATGCCCAGGAAGGCTTGCAACTTCCTTAAACTTCCATCTCACCTCGTTGGCTCACAGAACTCCATCTTAAGCTAAACCACTCCCAACTTCCCACTGAATCTCTCCACCAGAGAACATCTCCCAACTCCAGATCTTTTAATCACTACCTTCTCTGCACTTTCCAATGGCATGTTCATTCTCCTGGCCTGGAACTCATAAGCACTACTGTTCCTCAGCCTTCATCCAGTCCCTTCGAAGTGCTACCTACCCTCACTGCCACCAACGGGTCAAGTCCTGCCCTCCTTACCATCTGCCTGGACACTGGCCCCATTCCACTACCTCTGTCCAGGGGCTCTCCATCTCTTTTGTCCTCCTCCTCCCCCAGTTTGATGGTTTCAGAATGGCTATGACCTTGTAACCCCCACCCCAGGACCTTGGGAATTTCCAGTTTGCTCAGCTAGTACCGCTGGGAGCCCAGGGTCACGGGGCCTTAGCCTCTTGAGCTTTATTTACCATATTAACTTCTCTACTTTAAACAAAATGAAACAAAGACACATCCCACACTAGGCCCACCTTCTTCTTGAAGCCTCCTGCACCCACCCCATCTCAAGCTATTGATCTCCTTTTTTGCAAGATGGGCCCAGCTCAGAAGTACCCCTTGCTGCCATATTGCTCCCCAAGCCCCCATGACCTTCTACACCTTGCTTCCAGAGCTTCAGCTATTTCACCTTGGAGAACTTCACTCCTCATCCCCATTTGTCTCTAGTATAGAAATGTGTTTGGGGGGCGCCTGGGTGGCTCAGTGGGTTAAGCCTCTGCCTTCGGCTCAGGTCATGACCCCAGGGTCCTGGGATCAAGCCCCGCATCGGGCTCTCTGCTCAGCAGGGAGCCTGCTTCCTCCCTCTCTCTCTGCCTGCCTCTCTACCTACTTGTGATCTCTGTCTGTCAAATAAATAAATAAAATCTTAAAAAAAAAAGAAACGAAAAGAAATGTGTTTGGGGTGGGACACCTGGGTGGCTCAGTGGATTAAGCATCTGCCTTTGGCTCAGGTCATGGTCTCAGAGTCCTGGGATCAAGCCCCACATCGGGCTGTCTACTTAGTGGGGAGACTGCTTCCTTCTCTCTCTCTGCCTGCCTCTCTGCCTACTTGTGATCTCTCTGTCAAATAAATAAATCTTAAAAGAAAAAGAAAGAAAGAAATGTGTTTGGTAAATCTGTGTTCCTCCTACTTCATATAAAAGCACTAGATAGATGTCTCTTGATTTAAATTGTGGCATTCCCCGGGTTACTGTGCATGGTTGGTATTGTCATTTTTGTTCAGAGCCCAGGGAACTGAAGCAAAACGGTTTAATAAAGCCATTTAAGCTAATGGATTCCCACTGACCCTTGGGTAAAAGTTAAACATCTTAGTTTCCAAGACCTGCAGGCCAGAGCTGCACACGGTCTACTTTCCCAGCCTAAACTCCTCTCACTCTGTGCCCCTGCCATGGTCACTTAGTGTGGCCTCAGCCACAGTGGTCTTTTTTGAGAGGTCCCTTCAATTCGGCATGTTCCCTCCAGCCTCAGAGCCTTTGCACAAGCTGTTTGCCTGGGAATTCCCTGCCCCTCAGCCCATAGGAACCCTTCCTTCCTATCCCGAACTAGGTCACTCCCTGTCCAACCTGTGTCATTATAATGCCAGGTATCCTGGGCTCTCACTCACAGTATAGTGAGTAAATCTGTGTGTAATTCCTCCCTCACTGGACTGTAAACCTCATGAAGACAGGAGTCCGGAACTGCAGGTCCTGGTGCTCAGTAGATAATCTGTTAAATATTTATCAAATGAATGAAAGAGGCATCTTAAAATTCAGAAAAGCAGATATCTACCTTTGGTTTCTAAATCAAACCAATTTGAATTGCATCTGAGTTGCAATGTATTCACCCAGCAAATATCTTTTCTTACCTACAAACGTGCCAGACGTTGGTCTAGGCCCTCGGAATTCAGTGCTGAGCTCACAGACAAACTTCTGGCTAGGAAACAAACAATAAACACACGAACAAAATAGCACGATTAAATAGTGGAGTGTGCTTGGGGTCAGAAGCTGGAAGGTGACAGGGCTGAGAGGGGTGTTGGGAAACCATCCGTACCCCCCAACCTCCACTGCTTGCCTGGAACAGTCCCAATTTATGTTTGTTGAAGTGTCTTGATTTGGACAATAAGTTATGTGGTCACCCCAGTAATAGAATGTAGACGCAGTATCTGCGAGGGTTTTCCAACTTGAGCAGAGCCCCACACAAAGAGAAGTAACCAGTGATTTCCCTGTGGAGGTCTGGGGGAAGAGGCGGGAGCAAGGAGCCACTGAGCGGGTTCGGGAACTAGAAGAGAGGACAGTGTGGCAGGAGCAGTGGTCTTCATTAAGGAGTTAGGAGATTTTCAAGTTGGGAGCCATGTGTTGTGGGACCGGAAACAGCCAAGAGCCATGGAGTTGTGTTGAACTGACCCAACCCGCTGAGAAACTGAAAGTTTTCACTCACAAAAATTTCTTTTTTTTTCTTTATCCAACAAGAAGCCGTAACTTTATTAATGATAGAAACAGTACAAAGTTCAAACCAAGCTGCAGTTATTCTTTTGAAACACCAAAAAAAGGTCCTCATTTTCAGATGGTTACATTGTTAATTCCGTAATAGCATTTACAATCTCATTACTGTTGTTCTTCGCCTTTGCTCTTGACACATTTGATTCACTCACAAAAATTTCTTAACAGATTTATTGAGGTATAAGTGATGTACAATAAATTGGACATATTTTAATGTACTATTTGATAAGCATGGCATCTGGATGCTCCCATTAAGCCATCACGGCAATCAAGGTGACAAACACGTTGATCACCCCCAGGAAGTCTCCTTGTGCTCCTCTGGTCTCAGTCTTTTTCTCTTGCTTCTCTGTGTATCACTCCCCTCTAAACCTCCCATCAGGGGCAGCCGCTGATCTGCCCTGCTTGTGTGGATTAGTTTGTAATGTGTAGGAATTTTTTTTTTTTAAAGATTTTATTTATTTATTTGACAGATCACAAGCAGGCAGAGAGGCAGGCAGACAGAGAGGAGGAAGCAGGCTCCCTGCTGAGCAGAGAGCCTGATGCGGGGCTCGATCCCAGGACTCTGAGATCATGACCTGAGCCGAAGGCAGCGGCTTAACCCACTGAGCCACCCAGGCGCCCCTGTAATGTGTAGGAATTTTTATATATGGAATTATACAGCGTGTATGGGGATTTTTTGTCTGGCTTCTTTCACTTGTATTATTATTATTTAAGATTTTATTTTTTTAAGTAACCTCAACACCCAGAGTGGGGCTCGAACCCAAAACCCAAGAATCCCACACTCCACTGACTGAGCCAGCCAGCCATGTTGTAGCTGTAGCGTGCATCAGCAGTCATTTTTATTGCTGAATCGTATTCCAGTGTATGGTTATACCACAGTCTGTTTATTTGTTCACTCACTGATGGACTTTTGGGCTGTTTCCAGTTTTTGGCTAGCACAAACTTACTATGAACATCGCCTGTACAAGTCTTAGAACAGATATACACTTTAATTGGCTGGATTACATGGTAGGTATGTTTTGTTGTTGTTGTTGTTTTTTAAAGATTTTATTTATTTATTTGACAGACAGAGATCACAAGTAGGCAGAGAGGCAGGTAGAGAGGGGGGGGGGGAAGCAGGCTCCCTGCTGAGCAGAGAGCCCCATGCGGGGCTCTATCCCAGGACCCTGAGATCATGACCTGAGCCGAAGGCAGAGGCTTAACCCACTGAGCCACCCAGGCGCCCTGGTAGGTATGTTTTTAACCTTTTAAAGAAACTGTCAAACCGTTTTCCAGAGTGGCTCTTTCGTTTTAGATTCCCACCAGCTAAGAGTACCAACACTTGGTAGGTCAGTCTCCCGTAGCCTGAGCCATTCTAGTGAATGGGTGCTGGTATCTCATTCTGGTTTTAATTGGATTTCCCTAAGGACTTGATGTTGCGTATCTTTTGTATCTTTTCATGTGCCTGTTGGCCGTTTGCGTATCTTCTCTGGGAAAGTATTCGTTCAAATCTTCGATCATGTTTTATTGTTTTCTGTTTTATTACCATGTCTTGAGAGTCCTTTATCCATTCTGGATATAAGGGCTTTATCAGATATATGATTTACAAATATTTTCTCCCAGTCTGCTTTTCATTTTCTTAACAATACCTTTGGAAGAGCACAAGTTTTTCATTTTGTTGATGAATGTATCAATTTGTTCTTTTATGGAGCGTGTTTTGGTGTCAGATCCAAGAACTCTTTGTCTAACCTAAGGTCATAAAGGTTTTCTCCTATATTTTCTTCTAGGACTTTTATTATACTTTTTGGTTTTGGATTGAGTTTCATCTTTTTGTAAATGGATATGTATTGTTCCAGCCCAGTTTTCTGAAAAAAATTATTATTGCTGGATTGTTGAGCATGATGGTCAAGAAAGAGTTCTTGAGACATTTTAGGTGCAACTTAGTAAGTTTATCTAAGTAGCACGGGGACAGGACCCATGGGCAGAAATTGCTGCAGATTTGTTGTACAAAGTTAGTGGTTCTATGCTTAGTGCTCAGGAGGGAGGCACGATGTGTGGGGAGTATTAGATCATAAATGTTTTCTTTGAATTTCTACTCATAAGACCACTTTCACAAGATTTCTCTGGCACTTATCATTCAGCTCAATATGAACTGTCAGTGAGAGTTACGGGCAGTCATGAGACCCTTCAAGGTTGCAGCAACCAGAGTGTATTTGATCCTTATCGGAACCATGCAGGCTACAGGTCAGCCTTCTGGGCTGAAGAACATTTTTCTGCTATCCCTCATCAATCATCCTTGCTCTATGGAATTACTTTTGCACTTTTGTTGAAAAGCAGTTGTTCGTCTATGTGTGGACCTATTTTTGGACTCTTTATTCTGTTCCATTGATCTATTTGTCTGTCTTGACACCAATACCATACTGTCCGGATACTGTAGCTGTATGATAATTCTTTTTTTAAAAGATTTTATTTATTTATTTGAGAGAGAGAGAATGAGAGAGAGAGAGAGAGCATGAGCGGGGCGGAGGGAGGGCCAGAGCGAGAAACAGACTCCCTGCTGAGCAGGGAGGCCAATGCAGTACTCCATCCTGGGACTCCAGGATCATGACCTGGGTTGAAGGTAGTCGCTTAGCCAACTGAGCCACCCAGGTGCCCCCAATAATTCTTGAAATAAGGTAGCATTCGTCCTTTAACTTTGCTCTTTTCCTTTTCCTTTTTTTTTTTTTAAGATTTTATTTATTTATTTGACAGAGAGAGAGACAGTGAGAGAGGGAACACAAGCAGGGGGAGTGGGAGAGGAAGAAGCAGGCTCTCCGCTGAGCAGGGAGCCCGACATAGGGCTCAATCCCAGGACCCTGGGATCATGACCTGACCCGAAGGCAGCAGCTTAACTAACTAAGCCACCCAGGTGCCCAACTTTGCTCTTTTTCAAAGTCCTTCGCATTTCCCTATGAATTTTAGAGTCGGTTTGCTATTTTCTACAAAAAGATGAGAACTTGGAATAAAAATATCGAACATTTGTGTGAATTTTAGTTAGCAAACTATTTTAGAGATTAAAACACTTTTGGGGGAGCAGTTATTCCAGATAAGTTGTATGGTTGACATTCAAAAAATTATAAAATCATAAATAAAGCCAAGACCCTCAAATCTTAAGAGCTAATGATAGTGTACGTCCTAATACCCTGAGGGGATCTTTTTTCAGGAGGTATGGTTATCAGATGGGTTTTCATATTGTGTTTTTTTTTTGTTTTTTGTTTTTTTTGGATTTCCACATGAAAGCCAGGCCACTGTTGCAAGATACTTCTCATCTTCATTCCTGGGTTTTGTATCTAGGAGTGTATTCCATTTCACTTAATAAAAATGTATTTTAGTGTTTTTAACACATTGACTATATTTCTCTTTGATTAGCCTGGGACATTTTTAAAGTGAGATGCTATCAACATGGCATCTAGTTTATATAAATATTTGGCCTTTGCAGGTGTTCATGATAACTTACACATTCTTCTCCTTTCCCTTGCCTAGAAGAAACCTTTCTTAATAATACACGTCCATCTGTTACTTTACGGGTGGGTCATAGGACATAGAGAAGTCAACTCAGCTTTGCACAGCTCTAGCAGAACTTCAGATAGTTTATTCCCATGTTAGGACGGTACCCATTCCTTTTCCCAGAAGGCACTGGCCTGGCAGCATGGTGATGGCCAGAGCCAGGGTGATAACGGACGCTGGCGGATGCTGGCTTGCACAGTGACCTTGTGGAGCCTCCACTCTTCCATTTTTAAACAGGCATAATGCCTCTCTCCCTCAAAACACAGCTTGGAGGATTAGTGGTGATAAAGTGATGGGGACAATCACTTATTGTTTCCTTCAGGTCTGACACTATACTAGGTGCCTTGTATTTGTCTCAACCCTCATGACTGCTTACTGAGATAGTGACTGCAACATATCAAAGGCCAAAATATGTGTCGGCATCTGATTATCTAATGTTTTTAATTAAATTTTTATTATAAAAGTTTTCATACACACACAGAAATAGAGTAGTATAATGAATCCCCATGTATCCATTTCTCAGACTCTGAAACTGTCAGGATTTTGCCACATTTGCATCATCTGTCTTTTGGGGGGAAGGAGGGGAGCTGCAGTATTTTAAAGCAAATCTGAGACCTTCTTGCAGATTTTAGTGTGCATCTCTGAGATGTGTAAACATTTTCTTCCGTGACCCAATGCCATTATTACATCTAACAGAATTAATAATTCCTTGGTATTGCCAAATGTCCCCGATTGCCTAAAAATGTCTTTTTGCAGTTTGTTCAAATCAATGCAAACAACGTCCACACGACCATTAGATTAGGTTGGGTCTCTTTTAATCTGGGTGCTTAATAAACTTTCGTTGAATTAGATCGCATGTGACTTCTCTCACGCCATGCGAAAATTTTTTGCTATTGTTACAGTTTTTTCTCCTCAGGAGTCACTTTTCCTATAATAGGAAATTTTTCTTATAATAGGAAATGCTTGAGATTATTTCAGGGTTATTAAAATAACTGACTTATGCCGTGTATGTACTTGTCTTTGAAAGCCAGGTAAAGGGAAACGAGGAAAAGGCCGAGGCAAGTCTCGCGGGAAGAAACAGAAGAAACCGGAAGTGGACATCCTCAGCCCAGCCGCCATGCTGAACCTCTACTACATCGCCCACAATGTTGCCGACTGCCTGCAGCTGCGAGGCTTCCGCTGGCCAGGTGCTCCCAAATCAAAGAAAGGGAAAAACAAGACTTAATAGCATTTCACAGAGAGCAGAACTTGGAGACAAGAAATCAGGGTAACACAACTACTGCAAGCAAAATAGACTTTACTGAAGACAATTTGAGATGCAAGCTAAGTGTGCTTTTCTGTGGTAGTCAGTGATAAAGAAATGCATTTTACTTCCCAGCTAAATTCAGCTAGAGTTAGCCAGTTTGCTTTTTCAGAAGTCAAGAGGGAAAAAAGTCTGAGTAATTCCTACCGAGCATGGTGGAATTGAAAGGACTTTAAAAATTATTATAATTCTGGGTCAGAATAAACTTTGTTCTCAAAAGGCAGTTCTAGCCTGCATGTATTTTATTTTGCCTAAACATGTTTGTTATGTAGAAAAGGCATGCCTGGGGTACCTGGGTAGCTCAGTTGGTTGAGTGCTGGACTCTCCATTTTGGCTCAAGCCTTGATCTCAGGGTGGTGAGTTCAAGCCCCTGCCCTGGGCTTCATGGGCTCCATGCTAGGCGTGGAGCCTACTTTGGGGGGGAGAAAAAAAAAAAGACATGGCAAAAAGCACGGGATTTGCTTCTGAACCTTCTCTTGGGCACTATTTGCTTTCCCCATCTCTTTCAGGAAAAATAATGACTACTTTGTTTCTAGAATTTTCTTCTCAGCAGTCTGACTCTTGGCTGATTTTAATGAGCCAGGGACGCCAGTGGACACGAGCGTCAGTCCTGCTGTGACCTGGGTAGGGCGTATAAACAGATGACTCAAAGGATCTGACAGGGGACCATGTCCCGTTACCGGGAAAGGGAGCAAATCGGCATACATCTCTCCCCTCTTTCCATTTCACTAGACTCTCCTCCACACTTTTCCTCCATGCTTACATCTTCCTTCCACCTTCGGCAGGCTTCCTTTTAAACGTGGCTGAGCCTGAGTTACGGACCTGGTGCTAGAAACTTGCTGTGGGCATTCTGCTGCTCTTCCATGATCTCCCCAGTCTGTGGGAGACACGTAAGAGATGAAACTGCAGTTCTTTCTCTTCAGTCCAAAAGGCCTAAAAGCCCCAAATGTGAAACTTGGAAGCAGAGACATTTTGAAGTATAAACACCATCTCTGAATCACTTAGCATACAGAACACCTTTCCTGCTCTCTGTTCCTGGCATGCCGCACCACGTTCCCAGCAGGGACACCTGCACCGTGGTCTCCATTTGCAGCTGGGAGCCCGAAGCTGGTTTCTCTAACGCAGCACCTGTCTGGGAATGATCAGCTTGCCTGAATTACTTCTAATGATGCCTCGGCTTGCTTTGTGAGGACCTCAGAGGCTCGTGGAGCACGCTAAGAAAGGCTGCAACCTAAGACTCGGGATCTCATAAGCATCAGAGGAGAAAAGGCAATCACGTGAATCCTTGTACTGGAGAAGTGGGGCGCTCGCACCGCACGTGAGTTTATTGGAAATGACATTCCTGCAGCTGTCCCATCTGTGCGGACTCTGAGACCCTGACTAGTTGCCAGAGGGGCCCTGGCTTGCTCAGGTAAAGGTTGGTGCTGCTCTTAACCTGGAGGGGGGCCCTCTTGGTTCTCTGTGGACAGGCTTTGGGAAGGGAACACCCCGCCACACTGCTAGACACTGCTGGGACCAATGCAAGTGGTTTCTGTTTGGGAACACACTAACTCCAGTTCAGCCCTTCTCAAACTTGAGCATGCTGCATGGTGGCTGGGGCGGGTTGGGGGGGGCCGAGGTCAAAGGGCGGGAGGGTGGAGGTGGGGAAGTGGCCTTCCTGCTCACAGCCCCGCCCCGGCCAGGTGTAGATGCTGGAGGACGCCTGGGGAGGAGCTCTGCTCTAGTTACTGTGGCCTAACCAGGTGCCACAATGCTTGTTGAGTCTTTCAGCTCAACAAGGTAGGAGGTCTCATGCCCTTCTCAGCCGTGCTTGGTTCCAGAGCTGGTATCTGAGCCCTGATGCTTACTGGAACGCTGAGGGGTGGAATTTGCAGAGCTGTTTCTGATCTTGTCCCCAGCATGGATGATGTCATCCAGGGAGACGTGCCAGGCAGCAGACATTTAAATAAAGGCTAAGGAGATCATCTGGAAGTGGATTTCTTCTCCCGAGTTTGTTAAATGATGAGCAGAAAGGCAAGTCAGCACTGGAATAGAGGAAGCACTAATCTGATCAGCTGGGGCACAGTTGATACCTGGCAAAGGAGGCTGATGCATGGGTCCCATCATGACGGAGGGCAGTCTGTTTCCCCTTCGATGGAGTGTTTGCTGTGTTATCATGAAAGAGACACTGCAGACCAAAAATCCACAAAGAACATTACTGGGAAGTTGAGGAAAAAATGAATGTAGGCTTTAAAATAATACCGTATTGATGTGGATTTCTTGGCCATGATAATCTTATTGTGGTTATATGCCAGAACGATCTTCTCAGGAGCTAAAGTGTTTAGGGGGAGGGGTAGTGATGTATGCAACTTACTTTGAAATGTTTCAGGAAAACAGTGTGCGTGCGTGTGTGTGTGTGTGTGTGTGTGTATAAAATACCTATTTTAACATGTTGCCACATTTGTACTCTATATGTATGTAAAATACACATATATGCATATATAATATCTATACTTGTATAATGTGCTAGAGAGCCACAGATTAACATTTTGCCGCATTTGCTCACTATGATTACATGTGTATAGGAAATATATGTGTGTTTACATATGGTACATGTAAATATACACTGTGTTTGCACGTGCAAATATGACAAAAGTTTCCTGAATCTAGGTCAGTGGTTCTCCCCAGGGGGCTGTTTTATCTCCTAAAGGACATTTGGTGATGTTGGAGATATTTTCGGTTGCCCCAGTCGAGGGGATGCCCCCAGCATCTGTTGGTAGAGGTCAGGGAAAGCTGCTGAAGACCTCACAGTGCTCTGGACAGGCTTCCGCAACAGCAGATTTTCCAGCCCCAAACGTTATGGCATCAAGGTTGAGAACCCCGGTCTACATAAAGGGTCTGTGTGTTCACTGTACTTTCTTTCAACTTTTCTATAGGATTGAGATTTAAAAAAAAAAAATAACAAAAGTGGTATTTGAGGGAAAAAAAAGGTGAGAGAGAAAAGATGTGTGACAGAAAGGTGAGGAAGTGAAGGAAAAACATAAGCAAATTCTTTCCAGGATCTCATCTATAAGGGGATGAATCACAGCAAGGGGAGAAGAAAGCACTCCTGTCAACCACGCTAACCCTAACCACCCCCCCATCCCATGAAGAATTATCCTGGGTGATCATGTTTAGTAATACCTGACCAATAGTAACACTACTCCCTAAGGCACAGGTGGTTGGACCAGCAGGAGGCTCCTGACCCCTGAAAACTCATCCACTGGCTGCTACAAGGGAGCCTGGTCTATTCCAAGACCAGTGGGTCCATCCGAGTCTCCGTCCTATAAAGACCCAGAGGACCAGGCACGTAGGAAGCTGACACTTGAAGGAAGCATAGAAAGAGACCACGAAAGAGCTGGAGCCTCAGGGGTCCCCAACAAGCTGAAGTTGCAGAAAAGCAGAAACCTATGGTCAGCAGAACTTGGGCGGCAGAGAAGACAGGTGCAGAGCCCAGAGGGAGGACACGGCTGTGGCCTGGACCACTTCTCCCCTTCTCCCCTTCCCCTGCTCCTCAGCCTCGGTGGCTGCACCAGATGTGAACTGGCTGTAAACCACAAGCGAGGTGAAGGGGACCTCTTCCCTGGGAGACCTGGGAATTTGGGACTAGGGCTCAGACGGATTGGCTGGCCAGGAGTGTAGGTTTAGATGTATTCCAGGCAAGCTCATGGTTGGAACAAGGGGCTGGTCAGTTGTAGAAATAAGAAAGCTGCACCGAGTCAGGAGCCATGGGGACAATCTCCTTTCATGGGACAGAAGGAAGAGGAGGGAGGGACTGTCCGAGATAGAGGAGGAGGGCGAGAAGGGTAAGGAAATCTGGAGAAAAGGGGGGTCTGCGGGACCACATGCTGCACAGATGTCGGGGAGGGTGAGAGAATGGGAACAGGGATCATGGTCTGTTGGATGAGGCTCCTGCGTCGGTCTTCTCTATAAAATAGGGGAGGAACATGAACAGGGAAGCTTTGGCTGTGGTTGCACAAACCCAAACCTCCTGTCAGAATCCAGGTCTGCCCCTGGCCCCGCAGTGCATTCCTTATCTCCATCCTGGTGGTGGAAGGGTGTAGCGTGTGTCCCTGCGTCTCTGTGAGAACCCAGAGATGCCCCAGCTTGAAGCGGGTTCTCGGAGGTGGCCAGATGCTCCCAGTGGCTGGCAGCCATGCACGCAGCGCCACCTGCTGTTGGCTTTGGGGGCTGCATCATGTTTTGTCCTGCGTGTCAAAGCCAACTTGGGACTGATTTTCTCCTCACTAGACCTCCTTACCTTGATAATCCCATATTGGCAGTTGCCCTCTAAAAATATGGTATGATCATGTAACCCTTCTGCCTCAAACATTCCCATGGTGACCCACTGCTCTTGGGGTGCACCACCAAGGTCCCCAAGCGCTGATTGGACAGGTGGCTGGCTGCGTCCTCCCCACCTCCCAGCATGTTTTCACCCTCTTCTTGGCATTCCCGTCACTCCAGCTCCTTTCTGCCTCAGACATTTTGCTCATATTGTTCCCTCTGTGTGGGACACAATTCTCCCTTTCCCCTGGCTAACTCCCGGCCCCCTTTTAGATCCCAGCTTTGCATCTTCCAAGAGAAGTCTCCCTGACCTAGGGCCAAAGCAGGTCTCATGCCCTATGCACTCTGCAGGGCTCCATATGTCTCCATACTCTTATAGTTAAGTGGCTGATTGATTAATGGTTCTCTTCCCTCCTAAAATGTAGTGCTCTGATAGCAAGCCTTGCCAGCTTGCCCTCTTGCCCTCTTGCCCGTTGTGTTTGAGAGTACAAGCAGGGGAGCAGCAGAGGGAGAGAGAGAAGCAGACTCCCCGCTGAGCAGAGAGCCCGATGTGGGGCTCAATTCCAGGACCCTGAGATCTCGACCTGAGCTGAAGGCAGAGGCTTTAACCCACTGAGCCA